GAATGAAGACCCTGTGGGCAAAGCATCCCAGGAGGGGAACCAAAACTAGCCCCTCAAGCAGTAGGGTCGGCTGTGAGCCAGCGAGCTCCCCCCTCCCATGATTCACTTCAAGACATGGTTAATTTGACTTTCACTGCTCACCTGTGCATATCCACCCACCTTTGCTCCACATTTCTTACATGTTATCCTGGAAGTATTTTCGGTGCCTTGGAGACAGTCTCTCAGGTGCTAGGCCCCTGTTTTCCGGTGTTGGCCTCAGTGAAATAAATTCCTGTTTCTTTCTTTCTTCCTTCCTTCCTTCCTTCCTTTCTTTCTTTCTCTCTCTCTTTCTTTCTTTTTTAAAGATTTTATATATTTATTTGACAGCGGAGAGAGATTACAAGTAGGCAGAGAGGCAGGCAGAGAGGGGGGAAGCAGGCTCCCCACCGAGCAGAGAGCCCGATGCGGGGCTTGATCCCAGGACCCTGAGATCATGACCTGAGCCGAAGGCAGAGGCTTAACCCACTGAGCCACCCAGGCACCCTCTGTGTTTCTGTGTATTAGAAGAGTCAGCTACATCTCCTGTTCTTGAGGGTAATGGCCTTATGAAGAAGAGGTCCTGTAGTACCCTGCGGTGTAGTGTCCCCTGTTACCCAGGCCCTGCCACTTCAGGGAGTATCTCTGATGTGTGCAGCATGTGGTCTATTGTTGTGTCCTGGCCGCTTGATCCTTCAGGCCAGTCATTTACAGAGGCTTTTCTCTGCCTTGTGTGGACAGTGTTTGGTGTCTGGCCTGAATGTGGTGCATTTTATTAAGTTGTGCTCTGGTCTGCTTGTGAAATGAGACCTTTCACTAGTGCTGCTGGGGCCGAGGCCCTGCAAAACTCCTGTCAGGAGATGTGCTGTGGGCAGGGGTTTGAGCTGGCCTTCTGGGGGAGGGGGCCTGTCTTGTTGGGTCCGAGGCAGGCATTCCTGGGAGGGTGGTTCCAGCAGTGTAAGCACTTTAGGTTGAAAGTGTCAGTGCTGGGCTAGTTCCCGGAGGTGGTTCTGTGTTTATACTAAGGAGTAGGGGAGGGAAATGGCTCTGCCAGTTCCTTTGTTGTTCCCAGAGGGGTCTCTTTGTGAGCTGCCTCTCTGGAACAGGTCAGAGAGGAGCAACTAACCTCTTCACGGTGTGCCCCAAGCCCTCTCCAAATCCCAGTTTCCATGTTCTGTGTTCTGGACTGTCTGCCTTCCCTTTTCTCCAAGAGCAGCCCCAGTGCCTTGGGGCTTTATCTGAACCAAACCTACTGACCTTCAGAACTCCAGGCTTTAAGCCCCACAAGAACTCACAAAATTTAGCCCCTCTCACTTTCCAAGCCAGTTGCTATGGGGATTTGTTTTCTTCGTGGCTCCCACGTGTGTTAGTCTGTCTCTTGTCCTTCTCTGCAACAGCAGCTCCTGGAGTCCTTTCTCTCCCAAACCATATTCATACTTAGTACCTTCTTCCATGTGGACCTTCTCTGCCTTTAGTTATGGAGTTTGTTCTGCTAGTCTTCAGGTCAATTTCTGGGGTATTTAGGATGATTTGATAGTTATCTAGTATGAGGTGAGCCTAGGGTCCTCCTACTTCTAGAAATGATTTAGATATTTAATGAATTTAACTTGATTCATCATTTAACCTAATTCAGCAAAACTTCAAGGTTTTTAGGTTATTAAAAAAATTGGGGGGCGCCTGGGTGGCTCAGTTGGTTGAGCAACTGCCTTCGGCTCAGGTCATGATCCCGGACTTCCGGGATCGAGTCCCGCATCGAGCTCCCAGCTCCTTGGGGAGTCTGCTTCTCCCTCTGACCTTCTCCTCTCTCATGCTCTCTCTCACTCATTCTCCCTCAAATAAATAAATAAAAATCTTAAAAAAAAAAAAATTGGGAAATCTATTTAGATGTAATATTGTTGAAAAGTTCATTTATAAACTTTTATCTTGTTTATATCTAATTTACTTGTCCTTAATAACTATGTTTAGGTGACATATGAAAACAGTACTAAACATTAGACAAAGTCAGCCATTATCCTAAGCTATTAATTTTTGTTGACAGATCTTGTAAAGGACAACACAAACTTATTTGGGGGCTAGTAAACTGAAGTAGAATAAAAGTTTTATATTTAGTGTTGGTAACCCCAGAGACCTGTCTTTTTAATTAAGCCATCAGCCTTAAAATATCAAATATTTTTTCCAAACCATGTGACCTTGAAAAATATTTGGGTTAGATTTTTTTTCAGAAAGTTTTAGAATGCCCAATCCTTACAGGTGGTTGCCTTAAAACCAACTAAATAGAGCTCTTGTACAAATTAATTGTAGGAATACCACCCAGAAGTAGAAAATACCACAGAGCGACAACACATAAATATAGACACACATGAACATACAGACAGAGAGCCCCTATGGCTTTCTATTTTAAATTGCTGCACTGAAGTATGTACAGAATTTACTAGTTGTAAAAGTTAGGTCTCTGTTGTTTTTCTGGTAGATATGGAATAAGGTTATCAATCTAGATGGTCAAAGTTATTTTAGTATTTGTGAAGACACTTAAGATTTGAATTTCTCCTGGCAAATCAAGTTCCAAATGACCTCTCCCCCTTGTGTTTTTCTTGATAAGAATGACCACTCTAAAATTTGTATTTTAAGGAGATGGACTAGAAAGGATTTCCTAGAGAAGACTAGTAGAATCTTGAACATTTACATCTTAAAGACACAGGGAAAGAATGCAAGCTTCTCCTAGAAGGACTCTTGTTCCCTTAAAGTCAGAAATTTTACACTTACAATTTTGAGATAGGGGAGGTTGGGGGATTGGTAAGGGTTAATCTGATTAACCCTCCATGCATGTGCCTGTCACCCAATCAGGTTTTTGTCCATATGCTCATCTACCTATCCGGTAGTTCACATGGGAAGGGGTGGCGTATAATCCTTTGGAAGGCAGTTTCCTCTTAGGGCAGGGGTGGGGGTGAGGGGTGGGCCTTGTCTCTGTCTACCTTTCTTCCTACTGTCCTTCCTTATTTGTAAAGGAGGGGACAATGTGAATTTTTATTTTCCTTGCTCATCTGGGCTCAGGAAGTAATGTAGTTACAAACTCTTGAGGATTCTCCCTAGGTTTAGGAAATTATTCACCTACGGACTTTAGTTTGGCCTTGAGCCAAGGAGTGAAGAGTATTGGCTGTAGCCTCAACTGTCCTTCTTCTACAAGTAACTGTGGGATGGTCTTTTTGGAGTGAAAGACAGTCCATGGGAGGCTGACTAGGATGAATACTCAAAGGACAGAGGGGAATAGTAGCCTTTATGTCAGTTCTACAGTCTTGTTTTAGGTACCTTTGCTCATTTTCATTAGCTGTTTACAGTGAGTCTTTTAGTGAGACTGTTTTGGAATTTTGAACCTTTTGGAGGCTTCTGCTTGCCATTTAAAACAAATATCCCGCTCTATCAGTAAGTTGCCTAGTACTGACCAGGAAATTCTTTGTTGACTGGTAAAAGGTTGCATTCCTGGGGTGGCAGGGGGAGGGGGGTATTGGTTATAACTGCAGTTGGGTTAGGAATTAAGTGTTGGTTTGCTGACTTGGGTCTGTAACCTAAGTGGCACCATTTTGGACTTGTGGTTTTCTTTGGAACAGCAGTAATTTTGTGTGTGTGTAATACTCTGTCCTGCGTTCATTGTGAAGCTTCTCAAACTTGGTAGACTGTTAATTTCACCCCAGCATGGTTGATGTTTAGGGCTCGTAGGTCCATATCTACCAGCAACATCAGGTAGGTTCTTGTCAAGGAAGATGACTGGACTCTCAGTACTGTCATTCTTCTGATGTGCCAAGATGAAAAAGGTGGGGGTGATCTGTGCTCAAAGACCTTCACCATTTCCTGAAGGATACGAAAAAGGGAAAAGGGAAATTCTTGATGCCCTGTATTCTCTAGCCATTTATTTCAGATATTTTTTCTCTTTTTGAATGTATTCGATTAAATCATAGGAAATTGCTGCTTTTCAACTCTTTCGACCTCCAAAAAAGTAGCAGTTTTATAGGGTTTAATCTGATATACACGAAAGGCATTTTAATATCTTCTAGATAAAAATGGGGCATACAAATCCAAAATAATTATTTATTCATAATTGTTCATTTATATTTATCCCTTCCCCTAAGTTATTAGGGTTACTGAATTTTGGCTTTTGGTTTTTGCTTTTATTATTAAGGACCTATAAACTGTCAAAAACAGGGGCCCTGATTTTAAATACAACTCCATAACAGTCAGATAATATCCTCATTAATTTGGAGGCCACCAGTTCGGAATGTGAGATAATTTCAGCAGTTGCTAGATTGAAAGTCACCCTTAATTTAGCACATCTTTTCTTTAGAAAGGAATTGTGAAAATTAACAGTAGAAACAAGTATATAGAGGAAATGGTTGGGAGAATTAATCATTACATACAAAGAAATGATAATATTATCCATTCACTGAAAAACCTATTGATGTCTATCAGACAACATTTTTTGTTTTTGTTTTTTTATTTTTTTTAAAAAAGATTTATTTATTTATTAGAGCACGCGCAAGTACACAAGCAGAGGGAGAGGCAGAGGGAGAGGGAGAAGCAGGCTTCCCACTGAGCAGGGAGCCTAACACTGGGCTCGATACCTGGATCCCAGGATTGTGACCTGAGCTGAAGGCAGACGCTTAACCGACTGAGACACCCAGTCACCCCTCAGATAATGTTTTTTGAAGCCTAGTTTCAAATTGCTTGAAAAATATCTTGAGTATACTCAAAAGATTAAAATAGTGTTTCTTGAAACATAGCCTATCATTCAGACTTTTTCCTTGTTAGTCTGGCTTTGGATGTATTTTTATATGTACTTAGTACTGACTTTACATTATCGTAGTGATATAATCTTTTAATCTAGAGGGACTAAAACAAAATACTTTTCTAACCAAACATAACTATTTCCTTCTATACTTGATTTTCTTGAAGTAGTAGATTTTGTGTGATGTGCTGTGATCTCTGCACTTCAGGTACTATGCTGTGATGGTGACCATGTTCTTCACGGTCAGCGTGGTGAACAACTATGCCTTGAATCTCAACATCGCCATGCCCCTGCATATGATATTTAGATCTGTAAGTGCTGTCTGCTGACGGGTGTATGTGCCTCTGGGAAGCCTAAGTGGGTCGATCAAACACTTGACAGAAGTAGAAAGGTCTTACAACAAGTAGAGCCCAGCGTCTAAGAAAGATCTCCTGGATGCGGGAGCAAAGGCTGGCTGGCTTTCATCTGCACAGTAAGGCCGAGAGGGGACAGTTGACTTTCATCCCTCTGAGGTCTTCTGGGTGATCAAGAAAAGGAGCTGAAATCTCCCTGGATAACAGATTTCATGTTTAATTTCCTTTGTCTGATTGATTTTGTTTTTGGACTTGCTATGAATGTCATTTAACTTATTTCTCATCACTTTTGGTTTCTTTCATAAAATTATGTTTACTTCTAGTACATAAAATTGATACTTCCCTTTTTTTTTAAGCAAGAGACTTTTGAGACCATTAAGTAAAGGGAAATTCTTTTTTTTTTTTTTTTTTTAAAGTATTTGCTTACTTTAGAGAGAGTGTGCGCATGCACGGGTGCAGTGAGGGGCAGAGGGGGAGAATCTCAGGGACACTCCTCGCTGAGTGTGGAGCCTGATGCAGGGCTTGATCTCATGACCCTGAGATCATCACCTGGGCCCCAACCAAGAGTGGGACGCTTAACCGACTGAGCCATCCAGGTGCTCTAAATGAAAAGAAATTCATAAAGATTTTTATTTATTTATTTGAGAGCGAGAGACAGAGCGGTGGGGGTGGGAGGGAGCAGCCAGAAGCAGAGGGGGAAGCAGACTCCCCGCTGAGCAGGGAGCCTGATGTGGAGCTCGATCCCAGAACCGTGAGATCATGACCTGAGCTGAAGGCAGACACTTAACTGACTGAGCCACCAAGGCGCCCCAGTAAAGGGAAATTCTTGATGAAGATGGGGTTTCTCCCAGAGCAGCAGAGATTTTTTTCTTCCTCTCACTTTTGGTGGGAGATCTGCATGTAGTTTGTATGTAAGTAAATAAGAACGGAGTGCTCCCTGCAGAGCAGGAAAGACTTCAAGGGGAATGTAGTTAGGATTGCAAAAGAATGCAGAACTGGTGACCATTGGAATTATAACATTTCTGTGTCATCTGAGATTTCTGGAAGATTAAAGATACTATCCTCAAAGGGACTTTTCAGAGCTAATTATAATTACAAAAGTGACTTTCAAAGTACGGAGCACATAATAGACTTTCAATAAACTCTTGCTGATTGAGTGACAGCTTTCCAGAGAAGAGAAAGATCCCTACACGCCTTCTTTCATTAATTAAAACCGGGGGAGAGGAGAAGCTTAGCAAAAGCTCTCACAAATGGATGGAAAAATGTAACAAAATTAAGTCTACAATATAATTTATTTCTGGTAGCCTTAGTTTTAGCTCTGACCAATATTTAGAGAATTGTCATTTTTATTCTCATTGTTATCTTCAGAAGGTGTTACTAATTTACATAACAAATTTGTATGCTTTATACTTGTTGCCATTATAAGAACAAGTGGAACTTACTAATTAATCATCCTAACCACTTCCTTTCTGGCTTTTTCCTGCTTGTCCATGTTCTTACTTATCTCGAGTTATTTTCTTTCCCTGGTGCACTGAAACTCTCTTACTGTTTTCTCCTTTTACAGGGTTCTCTCATTGCCAACATGATCCTAGGAATTATCATTTTGAAGAAAAGGTAAATAATACACTTTCATATTTTGTGTATAGGAAGGATATCCTGAGCCCCATCCCTAGGCTGGATTCCTTTCCTCGTAGTGCCGGTAAGTTTGCTCTCGATCACCTGGTTTGTTTCTTGGTTTTCTCTGTGCCGGTGCTGTGCATCCCAAGGCCGTGGACCAGGTGAGGGGCCCCACCTGTGGCTTTGGAACATTTCCTCTGTGTAGAACAGAACAGCTCTTGTCATCACTGCATCATTAGTACCGTGATAACCTCCAAAGCCAGCTGTTCTAGAATTTTACTGTCCCATGTGGTCTCCACTAACTCCATGGGACTCTTGACATTTAAATTTCAGTTACGTGGGGCACCTGGGTGGCTCAGTGGGTTAAAGCCTCTGCCTTCGGCTCGGGTCATGATCCCAGGGTCCTGGGATGTAGCCCCGCATCAGGCTCTCTGCTCAGTAGGGAGCCTGTTTCCTCCTCTCTCTCTGCCTGCCTCTCTGCCTACTTGTGATCTCCGTCTGTTAAATAAATTTAAAAAAATAAATAAATTTCAGTTACTTAAAATTAAATAAATATTTCGTTTCTCATATTTCAAGTGCTCAGTAGCCACACGTGGCTACTGGCGACCATGTTGGAGAACCCAGATAGGGAACATGAGAGTGCTCTGAAATGTCAGGGGCCTTTCTTAATCATCCGTTGCTCTGGAGAACTTGTATTGGGTCTGTCCTCTTGCATCTGTCCAAGTAAGCCCTGTTGACTCTCCTTGCTGTGTATCACCCAGAGAGCAGGAATTTCCCTTAGGTAACCATCTAATATCAGGAATTTATTAAGTTATTATCTCCTTTTGTGTATTTTGAGTAGAGCCCCTTAGGTTCACAGTGTGTTCCTCGTTCCGGGATTTGAAGACCAAGTCAATACTTACCTCATCCTGCCCTTTGTTAATTTTTAGGCCTGTATTACCAACCTCTCCCTGTCTTGATCTTTCCAGACTCCAGAGTGCCCTTACTTTTCCATTTGCCTCCTCAGGGCCTCTTACTTCATCCTCCCTCTCTCCACCAGCAGGTTGCTCTTGGCCCCCGATCTGCTGCTTAGCCAGGCCTGCTGGCCTGCTACGAGCTGATGTGACCAGAACTGTACAAAGTATTTAACTAGAAAACCTTGACTGGTTCATCCTGTAAATTTAATTCCTTTTTGTCCTTGCCTGAGTCCTTCCGCTTTATCAGTACGAGCCCAAGAGGAATATTAATGATGTGTTTTAGTTAATATGAAATGCCACTGTTCTTACTGCCAGTAGTCCTATTAGTGTAATATTTCTTCCTTTATCCAACTGTGCTGACGTTTAAAAACATTTAAGTCAGTCAGAGGTGTTAAAAAAAAAATCCTCTCCTGACAACGGCCAGTTGAATGATTTTTCCCCCGCCACTGAATCCTGCTACTTGTCCCTTATGATCCGTTCTTCCTCTTGTGTGGTGTGTCTCTGACGCTTGGGTTTGGGTCCCTGAAGACCGGAAGCGCCCCAGGTGGCAGTTCAGATGTGTCCGGCTTTCCCTGGGACCTGAGCAGGATGGCAGAGCCTGTCTGGCCTATGTCTTTTTTTGTTTTTGTGTTCTGACGAAACCTCTCGGTCCACAAACTAACAAACTATTTTAAGCAACACCAGGAAAGGGAGTTTAGTCACCAGTCAGCATCCTGCTTCGTTCATGCCCAGACTTCCGTGTGTGCGAGCCCGTCCGCTGGATTCCGCTGACGGGTGCTCTCGCACGGCGTCTGACTGGGAGCATCGCGTGGAAGTTCGTATCTGTGCTTGTCTTGTCCTGAGGTGTTCTCGTTCTTGTTTTCGCAGATACAGCATTTTCAAATATACCTCCATTGCCCTGGTGTCTGTGGGGATATTTATCTGCACTTTCATGTCCGCAAAGCAGGTGGTAAGAATCGCTTCACAAATCGTTTCTCTTCCCTGCTTGCCGTGGGGGCCCCGGGGTGTTTTATGGACGCGGTACATTGACATGTTTATGCCATGGAAGGATTTGGGTCTCTGCGAGAGAAGAGCGGAGGGGAGAGGGCAACACAGATCGTTCCTTCGTACCCGGGCACCTTGCATGTAGTTCTGGTCTCTCTACCTGGTATTTTCCTGTCTTTCCTAGACTTCCCAGTCCAGCTCGAGTGAGAACGATGGATTCCAGGCATTTTTAAGGTGGCTGCTAGGCAAGTACAGTGATTACAATAAAGCTAATTGCCTCTGAAGTTCTGTTTGCTGAGTTTTCTCCCAAGGGGCGGGTTTCTTGGCAAGAAGCTTTGGCTAAACAGATCATGCCACAGAAGAGAGAGGCACCTGGGATCACCCATCTCTGAACTTCGCTGTTCAGAACATGAAAAAAAAGAAAATGTCCACATTCAGGGTAATGTATTCTACAGCATGGTTCCACGATTTCCGTGGCTGCCAGTGGTATGGAACGAAAAGTGCACATCCGTTTGCCTGTCACTCTCCCTGCGCGAGTGCATAGAATGTCCTCCATTTCTGCTTGGTCTGTCTCCTGAGTAGAAGCAGTCAATGTCCAAGGGACTCATTTCTAAATCTTAGATTCATTTTCTTCATAAGTTAGCTCTTCCATAATGAGTGTTCCCAAACCCGACTGATCATCAGAGTCTCCTAGGGAATTTTTAAAAATATGAGTATCTCTTTGTGGAACTCATTAGATCACTCCTATAGAGCTCTGGCCTTGTGTTGTTGGATACGGAGGTGAAACTCTTTGCAAGTGCAGTCCATGACAGTAGTAACAGGGTGAGGGTAAGCCGAAGAGAAATAGCAACGAAAGAACTAGAATCTCCCTGTTGCTTGGCTTCGAAAATTTATCCCTTTAAGGTCGCTCTTCTTTACAAAAAAAAAATCATCGTGAACTGTTAGAAAACACTTTATCCAATAAGAAAAATTTCCAGAGGATATAAACATACAATTCATGGGGAAAAATTAATATCTAATTACTGTATGTTCAGCCTCAGTACTCTTAGAGAGATGCAAATTGAAACCAAAATGCAGTACCTTTTTATTTTTGGCCTATTAAAATGGCAAGACAGTAAACAATTATCCTCATTGCTGTAGGGGGTGCAGTAGGACAACCATTTTTGTATAAACTGTTTATGGTAGAAATTGACACGGCCTTTCTGGAAAAATTTATGTACTGTTTTAAAAATGTCTGCAACTTCTGACTGTAATTTTGTTTAGGAAAGTTTACCCTAAGGAAATCATCAACATTTCGTTTAAAGATTTATGTACAAGGATATACATTGATTTCAATGGTGAAATAATTGGATGTAACCTAATCATTCGCATGTTGTAAGACCTTTACTATGGTCCCTCCACGTGATAAAGTCATGGAGCTGTGGGTTCATACCTTGGAAGAAATTCTAATGAATGACTTGAAGGAAAATCCAAAAAAAAAAAATCCAAAAAAAGGATTGTGAAGAAAGCAAGATGTACATTTGTATGTTCATTATGATCCCGTGTTAGCATAAAATATATACATAAATATATAGAGAGAGCAAACTATCAAGGAATGGGTAGTGATAATGTGGTTGATTTTTACTTCTTTAAAAAATTTTGTACATGTTCTACAGCTGGCTTGTAATAAATGTAGAACAGTCAGTGTTCTTTAGGAAAATGTGTGGAAATGAGCAAATCCAGTATCTTATCACCGGTTTTTGTGTTTTCAGGGATTGGGGCACTGACGTTTGCACTTCTGATGTCAGCACGGATGGGTATTTTCCAGGAGACCCTATACAAACAATTTGGGAAACATTCCAAGGAGGCTTTGTTTTATAATGTAAGCAATTTCTTGAGCCTGAGATAGATTAAAAAGTACTCAACTGTACTCTGTTATTTCAAACAAAATATGCGTTTTTCTGGTGTAGTTGAAGGACCACATATTTTTAATAGGCTACGAGTGTGTATTCTGAGCCACTGTTCTCTGCATGAGCCGCTCATGATCGGTCAGTGTGAACCTAGCATGTCCCGTAAACCAGGAACAACGTCTGCGGATTAGGACCTTCACCCCCACCCCCCAGTGTTCCTATAGATGAAATCGAGTGAAACCACTATGGAAACCTTGAACAGGAAAATAAGTTCCAAAAACCCCATGCAGAGGGGGCTGTGGGCAGGCGGACAAGCATTTGAGGGAAGGGGGGGGACAGCATCCCTCCGGGGAGCGCTCTGTACTCAATGGAGAGTTCCGTTAGCTAATTCTCTGTTCTTCTGCTCCTTTTTTGGAAACTGCTAAGCCAGAGCCGCCCCCTCTAACTGTACTCTTCCTCCAGCCTCTCTCTTGTGGAGAGAACATCCCCAGCACAGCCCCTCAAGGTCCCGGGCGGTAGAGATGCCGCCAGCCTCAGGGTTTGGAGGTTCGTCACTGCCAGCTTTTGTATTGAAGCTGTAGACAATCAGGCTGAGATATTTAACTGGAACTGGAGTGTGTGGCTGGGAATTTAAAAAATAAGGAACAGGCTCTCTGCTTCACGTCTTTGTTTTAGAACAGTACCTGGCACGGGGTAGCTGCCCTGTAACGGGCCGAATGACTTTGAGTTTAAGCTTCCCTTTTGCTGAGGGAAGGATGCTGGCTCCATTTTTTTGTTCAGTGTGTGATGATCTCTGACTCCAGTCCATAAGGACCAGAGCTGCAGCTTGGGGTCAGTAGCCTGTTGGACAGTGTCACGTGGTCCAAAGCCCTGGATACGTTTAACCTAACGAGTCTGAATTGCTTTTCTTGATCCTGCTTGTCAGCTCGTAAAACTGGGAGTCGTTGTGAAGCTGCCCTGCGGTTTCTGTAGTACATCTGTATGTAAATTTACACGAACTCTTTCTTCCCACAGCATGCCCTTCCACTTCCTGGCTTCATTTTCCTGGCTTCCGACATTTATGACCATGCAGTTCTGTTCAATAAGTCTGGTGAGTCTGGGGTTAGCTGGTGGAATCCCCTGGCAGGTTCTGGGGCCACTTCTCAGTTTCGCCATTGACTTGACGATCTTACCCAAATCACCGCCCTATGGGGAGCCATCCCCACTCTACCTCCCGGGGATACCGTGCTGTTCGTCAGCCGTTGCAGTGGCAAAAGCTTTTCCAGATGCTTCTCAGTTATTTGCAAACAATGTAATAGAGTATCTTCACATTTTCTATTTTGCTTTGGAATTTGTGTGTTTGTGTTTGCATGTGGAACGTTTGATGTTTTGAGAATGCCAAAAAATAGCAGTACCGCCCCGCAGAGGTGGGACCGTGAGAAACCAGGCAGCCATCAGCTCTGCCTGCTCCGGCCCGCCCTTTGCTGCAAAGGCAAAGGCAGACCCGCTCACACACACCGTCCTAGCTCCCTTGGAGTGAAGGGAAACAAACCATGAGGGGGCTTTTTTCAAAGGTAAAGGGTAGGAAATAAAGCAGCAGGAATAAGCAAAATTTGTTCAGATGTCTACAGGGTAAGTTAGCTGTTACTTGTTAAAGGGACTGTTTAATCAACTAGCTAAAATTGCCAATTAACTTGAAGGGAATTACCTACCTGATGTGACTGACTGAAAGATGTAGTGTTTATACAGACAAAGGAACACACAGGAACAAATAAACATGTGTAATGTTAAGGCTTTCTCTTGCTCATATCTAAAATGGTAGGTGTATTTTGTGGAGTGGCGGTATGTGCCCCGTAAACTTGTTTGCCATCAGAACCTGCGTTAGGAAGTTGTGAATGCTTTCTGTTGGGAGTTCGCAGTGTTGTCTGTCCCATTCACCCACAGAAAGTGTGTGATGAAGGTAGTGTGTCAAAGTTTTGTTTTTTTTTTAAGATTTTATGTATTTATTTGACAGAGATCACAAGTAGGCAGAGAGGCAGGCAGAGAGAGAGGGGGAAGCAGGCTACCTGCTGAGCAGAGAGCTCGATGCGGGACTCAATCCCAGGACCCTGAGATCATGACCTGAGCCAAAGGTAGAGGCTTAACCCATTGAGCCACCCAGGCGCCCCTGTCAGAAAGTTTTTAAGGTTCTGAATTACTCAATCATTTCTGACTTTTTTTTTTTTTTTTTGGAGATGTAATTGACACATAGCCATTTTTGACACAATAATTTTTAAGGTCCCTTGAGAGTTTGCACATAGCGATGGACCATTGATATAAAAATATTATCAGATTCCTTGGGATTGATTTTGATTTAGTTACTAGAATGCTGCTTCTAAAAGTCACAGGGATGGTATTTACGTAAAATCTTTTTTAGAGTATGCCTTCAACTTCTTCAGAATCATCCTTGAGTTAAGTATGTTTTCTTTTTTCCTCTTGCTTGTCTTAGGTTATCTCAGATGAACCTGTTATCCTTGAATTTGTTACGAGAATTGAATATCCACCTAAATATTTTGAGTCCTACTGATTGACTCTTACATAGCAAATTGATACAGTGGATCTCTGGAGCTATTAAACAGTAATAATGTTACTTGTCTTTTCAGTGTTTCAGAGACAGTTGAATAACACATTATGGGGATTTCCCACTAGTTTAGACAGTTATATTACATATATGTGTGTGTGTGTGTGTGTGTGTGTGTGTGTATGGATTTTTATGTTTTGCAAAAGAAAAGTAACATTCCTTTACTAAGGAGATCTCACTGTCACTGTTAGAATTTCCTAAGTTACACAGAATAATTCTACCCCCCAAACACCTTAGGAATTTTTAAAGACTGATCGTTTGAGAATTACTATGTCCTTAGTCTCTTTGATCTTGAATATTTTATTTCCTCCCAATATTTGCTATGCAAGCCTCATAAACGTAAGAATGCATTTAAAGGAAGAAAAGTTACAGTTCTATAGCCTTAGACGTCAGCTAATTTCATTTTAGCAGTTTTTTTCCAGACACTGCTTACATACATTTTTACATAGTCGTCATCCTTGTGTGGATACATTTCATACTTGCTTTTTCACTTGCCTTCTTTTTTGTGTGAGTGTATATAATCTTCATGATTCTTTTTTCATCAAATGTGTCCCGCCTCATTTAGTGAAAGTTCCTTTAAGGCTTACACAGCCGTTGAGATTGATTTGGTTTTTCCTCATTATAAATAGTACTCCATCAATGGAGAACTTCTTTCTTCTTTTGAATTAATGAGGATTAATTCCTAAGAATGACTGTCAATACTTGTGTGGTCCCTTAATGTGAGCATTATGAAATGGATTTAAACACACACACACACACACACACACCAGTAGATACTACCAAATGAGTGGCTGCCAATTCCACTACTGCCTTTCCAGATTAGGATTTTATACATTTTTAATTGCTGTTTTAATAGAGTCTAAAATGGTAGAACCCTGTTTAGTTTTGAATTCTTCGATTACTAGTAGGATCGCATATATTTCCAAATGGAATTTGTGGGTTGTCTTTACTCTTGGGTCGATCGTCAGGTAAGGGCACGTCATTTGTAACTTCTCTGTGCCTCGCAGTGTTTCTTTGTAAAGTGGGGTCCTAGTTAGGTGGATGGTGAAGAGTTTATCTTACAGTTGCATTAAGTAATTTAAGAAACCAATGTAATGGGGGCACCTGGGTGGCTCAGTGGTTAAGCCTCTGCCTTTGGCTCAGGTCATGGTCTCAGGGTCCTGGGATCGAGCCCCGAATCGGGCTCTCTGCTCAGCAGGGAGCCTCCCTTCCTCTCTCTCTCTGCCTGCCTCTCTGCCTACTTGTGATCTCTGTCTGTCAAATAAATAAAATCTTAAAAAAAAAAAAAAAGAAACCAATGTAATGACTCTTGAGACCTGGAATCAAGGGAAGTAAAGTGGCGTACAGTCCAGTTCTGCTTGCGAGGGAAGTAGTGTTGCTGTCTCTGTTACGTTCGGTCTCCATTCAGCTGTCAGAAATATGACCGTCTCCCCTCTCCATCTTTGCAGAATTGTATCAAGTTCCGGTCATTGGTGTGACAGTGCCCATCATGTGGTTCTACCTCCTCATGAATGTCATCACTCAGTATCCTTTGCGCTCCTCTGCCATGAGGTCTGCTCTGTGGTCTTTTGACTGAGGAATGTTTATTCTTCTAACGGTGTATGACATGAGTTCCGTCTCTGCCTTGATCTATTCTGTACTACCGGAGACAGAGCTGCCCATCCAGTTAGTGCCTTCGTGGGGGGCCAGAGGTTAGTGCTGCAGCAGGTTGGTAAGTCACTGGGCACCATAAAGAGACTGCTCTGGGGGGAGGTATAGAAATCAATGGATCACCAAGTAATAGTATAGGACGTGAATGCTCTGTGATTTCTGCTGGAGTTGTTCGGTGGCCTAGGATATGTCTCAGGCTGCCACAAAATTCTGTAAGAAATTTCAAACTAACTAAACCTAATTTTTTAAATGGTTCCTTTGAACAACCTGAAGTAGGTTATAAAATCATGAAGGGTCTGAAACCACGAAACAGGTCGAGATTGGTCTCACTCCTCTGACGTCACCTAGTAGATTGGCCAGCAGAGTTCCTCTTTGGACAAAGAGGTGGAGCCCGGGTCCTTATATTAAGTAGGTTTGCTGACATTTATTGAAAGTGTTACCTACCTTCTGTCACTACTTGGGAGGGGACCATCACCGTACACCGTGTGAGGAACTCGGAGCGAGAACAGTGGGCGGTCTGCAGGCAGCTTCAGGGGAGGATCTGCAGAGGAGTGGTAGGACGTTCACTCAGTTAAGATGTTCTACTGAGGAAGAGCCTCCGAGCAGCCATAGCCCACCCATGTCTTCTGGTTCTTAGAATATGAGCATTTAAACCAAGAGCGATGCCAGAATGTTCTCCCTGGTGTTCTCTCTCTAGTCTGCCGAAACCACCTTAACCCACCCCCCCCAGGTACGTGTGCATCCGGGGCGTCTTCATTCTCACCACGGAGTGCGCCTCCCTCACCGTCACCCTTGTCGTGACCCTACGCAAGTTCGTCAGCCTCATCTTTTCCATCTTGTACTTCCAGAACCCTTTCACTCTGTGGCACTGGCTGGGTACCTCGTTTGTCTTCATTGGCACCCTAATGTACACAGAAGTGTGGAACAACCTAGGGACCACAAAAAGCCAGCTTCAGAAGGACAAGAAGAACTGAGGCCTGCCCGGAGCAGAGACCAGGGTCGTGATGTGCTAGGGTCTGGTGAAGGGCTGGCCACCCTTCCACGTTCGTCAGCGCTGAAGTGTTGAACCAACCATGTACCAGAGAATCCTCAGAAGGAGGGACGTCTCAGATTTCTTAAGGCTGTACAGACAGTGTCTGTGGACTCCAAATGGAAACCCCTCAACCATGAAGTAGAAACAAGAACAGTTCTCTGCTCTTGAACAGCCAGCGCGTTTGTTACTTGTTTACCAAAATATTTAGTACTGTTACTTGTTTATTGAGTTCCGAGTCCCCACAGCTAGTAGTTTTATATCCGTGTTCAGTGGTGGTCTCTTGTTGCCATTCTGATGATTCTCTGCCACACAGTCATTATCATCCTGTGGCCTCGTCCTTTTTTTCTGTCACCTTTCCCCTCCCCGCCCCAACCCCTGCAGCCCTGTCGGCGAGTCAGATGCATCATCATCAGGAAACAACTGAGCTGAGACACCGGTGACACTGGGACTGGAAAAGAAGCAGTTGTCCCTGTGAGCCGAGCCCTTGTCACACTGGAGCAGGGCTGGTGGGAATCCTTTCCCACATCTTGCCTTTTTTTTTTTTTTTCCTTTTTTCCTATGCAAAAGTCTGTTGCTTTCTCTGCCTAGAACAGACCTTCAGCGTCTCTCTGAGGCACAGTTAATAAGAAAGGTTGTGTATGACTTGGGAGAGACGTTTCCTGGCATGAAGCCCTGTGGCTCTGAGTGGAGATGGTGCTGGGAGTGGCTGGTCCTCGGTGGCCCCCAGAGGGCCACAGCTCCGGGCTGGTGCCAGCGGGTGCCTTTCCTGCTGGGAAGGCTGCTTAAAACCAGAGAGATTGAGTTCTGCCTGTCAGGCTGACAGAGTCATGGTCAGTCAGGCTAAGGAGGAGACTAGTACATGGGGGGTGTGGTGTATAAATCAGGTCCAGTCACAACGAAAATGAAGGTTTTTTTTCCCCCCTTCTTTCCTATGAAGTATCTTAGTGTTCTTGATGAGTGTTCACAGGTGGTTGGGAGGTAATGTGTTTTGCTCTGTGTGGAAATATGATGCCCCTTTTGGCTAATCATTTCGGAGGTGTGGTCTTTCCTTGCTGGGGTAATTTTGAGAACAAGGAACACTATCAGTATAGTGTGTGTAGGGGTGTGTGTGTGTGTGTGTGTGTGTGTGTGTGTGTGTGTGTGTGTGTAGTTTCTGCGATAATATTGGAGGAGAAAAGAACATGAAAGTCTGTTCTTTTATTGCCTCATTTTTCACTCAGCACCCCCCGCCCCATCATTAACCTCACAGGAGTACCTGCCGCTTTTGGGCACGGACTGTCTTAAATTGCGGTGTGGTTCTGCAGATCTGCTTGGCTCACCTGTGGTGTGGCAGGGGTCCGCCGCCGCCTGCCTACAGCTGGTCTCTGATGGGGTCTGAGATAAGTCCCAGAGCCTTTGGGTCGCTCTGGGGGAGTAACTTAAGCCACCTCATTGTCCTCTGCATGTTAATCACGGGTTTTCAGACTCATTTGTTGCTCTAGATGTGGACAGCTTTCCAGTGCTGATCACTGGTCTGCCCCAAAAGATGCTGAATTTGGCGTGAACCCATTCATGGAATCAAAAGGCATTTTCTTTGAAATATGTAGAGTTCTTCAGACTGATGGTGCTATAAGTAGCATGTGTTAAATATCCTCTTAAAAACAAAAGCTATTTTTTTTTTAAATCACTTAATAGAAGAACGTGTCCCTAGGGGCTGTTGGATTGCTGTGTATCTGGAGTCTTAACAGGCTGTCCTAACTCAGTGTCATCCTTTTTATGTTGATGAAAATTTTTAGTAATTGAAATGTGTCGGTGCACACAGACAGCATTTAACTGAGTCTATTAGATTTTAGATTCTGGCTTTAGAAAGTACACGTTCCTCAGTCTGAACACCTCTGCTGGTTTTATTAACAAGAGGTTACATATGGACAGATTATGCACTTAAGCAAAAAATGAACGTGTGTAAGAACAGAATGTCTGAAATGCTCTGTGAGTTGATTTTCGCTCTAGTGGCCAGATGTAAGAAAATATGTCTAATGGACACTAGAACTTTCATTAACAACTTGTTTTTGGACCATTTATTTCCAGAGGATAACTGCTTTTTCAATCCAGGTTGAAACTAATTTCAGCTTTTATGAAATAGGCAAATAAACCATTTTGTAAAGGACCAGACCCATGCGACAGAAGGAGAAATGTCTATTAAAATGCTTTTCCTCTTTCTCGGTCAAAACTATGTAACTGTGTACCTCAGAGATAGAGTTTGTTTACAAAAGAGATTGGTGTTTAAGATAGCCAAAACTCTACCCTTAGAGCAAAGATCAGATAGCAGATGGCACTAGCCAGAAAGTATACTGTGTGTGTGTGTGTACATGCGTACACATGCCTGTGTACCCACTTAACAGCTGGACCAGTGCCATAGATAAATAGGAGAAAGTGGTGGATATTTTAGTTCTATTGATGTAATACCTACATAGCCTTTACCACAATTCTGTCCTCTCATTATAAATGCTTTTTCATTTTTTGACTTTTTTCTTGATCTTTTAATTTTCCTTTCCATCTAAAACAATCATTAATGTACTTGGTAACTGTCTATCAAGTTTTAAAGTATTTAGACACAATCTGTTCTTCTGGGAAGATTACCTGACATTTTTAAAGCTTTCTAATAACTTGAGGTCACTTCTCGAGCACCCGTCCCCCCTTCTGCCTTATTTTGTTTCCCTCCTGAGCCCCACCTCCAGTGTCCTCACCGCACTTTCTGTTCACTTGTGTACTTCTCCACTGAAGATTTGTATAGTTTCCCACACCTGTAATCTTGTATCTGTTTATGCCTCTATTCTCTGGGGCCTCTCAGATGTTTTTGTGGGTTTTTACAAGGTATTTATATCTGTGTAGCACGTATTTTGTTAGACATTGTTGTAAGTATTGATACTTGGCATGTTAAGATCTGGCCCATAAGTATGAACATGAGGGTGAATGTAAAATGTTTATATATTTTATTACCTGAAACTGGGGCTGAAAATCTTAACCACCCTGTCCTGCAGTAGTTGGAAAATAATGTTCTTATTTCCTCCTTCCATCCCATCTTGAGCTCAGTTTACTCAGCACTGCCAGATGCCTAGGGAGAGGGAAGGTGGAAAACCCCAGGAATTAATCCAAGCCAGTGAATTAGCTGTTAGGCTGGAGGACCAATTGGCGGGTCAGAGTGAAGGGGAGGAAGAAATTTTCCTGTCCAAGGTTCTTCCAGCTGGATTAGGAGTTAAATTTCCATGAGACAGATTAACAGGAGAAAAAATCAGTTTTATTTTGTGCACCCGGAGTCCCGATAATGAAACCGAAACCTAAACAAAAGACCAAAGCAGGCATTTTTTAAAATACACATTTTAGACTGTAAACCTGTCAGGAATTGACAGAAAATGGATGTTTGGGAGCTTTATTAAGGAATTTGGGCTTTGGTAGTAGATTAGTAAAAATATAACCAGGTTTATTTCTACAGCTTCCTTGGCTTTAAATAAAGGTGGTGTTTTGTTTTGTTTTTTCCCCCTGTTTTCTTAGTGTGGGGAGGGTACCTTTCACAGAGGAGTGTCTGAGTGTCCTTGTACCTGTTGTTTCCCACATGGTTTCAATTCAAAATCCTGAGTATGCCATCGTGGTGCACTATGGATGGCCTGCCCGGGGCCCCTGCAGTCCCCTCCTCTGAAACTTCCGTGGAAGTCTCACACATTAAAAGTTGACAGATTGTTCCATGTCAGTGAACCAGTCTGGGTTCTGACGGGAGGTAGTTAAACTCATTTTAGGAGGCGGTGATGTATTCTCAGTCCAATGGTTCAAATCAGGAATGAATGAGCCATTTCTGTGGAAACAAAAGCCGTGGTTCATGACTGGATCAAATTAGAAACCAGTTTCAGAGTGTAGCCAGTCAAGTGGATTTCTAGATGACAGGCAGTGGCAGTCTGATGTATTTTCTGGGTTTGTAAATTGAGTTTTATGGCGATCTTTTTGAGTAGCCCATCGAGCAGTGGGCATGGAGATCGTCTACATATGAGCTGTTGTGATTTCTCTGACGTTTAAGTTGTTTATGTGCAGTTTGCAGGGCTTCAGGAGAAAGGACAGTTTTTGGTTATCAAGTTCTTCCAAGTAAAAAGGATGGGGAAAAAAAACCCAAAAATGTTAGTTGGGGGAGCTGTAGCCAGGCCCTGGAGAAAACCAGAAGAAATCAGGATCTTGTCCAGTTTATAATGAACCGTATTTGGAAATAGTATTCACAAAGGTATGTTATTGAAACAGTTTTTCTCTTTATAATCACACTCATTTTTACCAAATATAGCCCAGTTGAGACTAATTGGTTTGCGAAAGAAGCCTAGTTTTTTAAAACTTGGTTTAAGTGCAGCAAGAATTGTGATTGAGCTCATAGGCTCTTTTTATAAGGCCTCTCCAGACTGACCTTGACAGTCTTTCAACGTTGGCAGCCGAGTCAGATACTTGCCACAGACTTCAACTGTAGCACCTAGAGATTTGGATTCATTCTTTCTCAAGGTCCCAAAAGTATCCCAAGTTTCTTGCATCTGCCAGGAAGTGACCTTCCCTCTTCACATGGTAAGTTTGCTGGGAACTCTGTCAGCAGGATATTAGGCTATTTTTTCAGAGGGCTTCCTTGGTTCCATATAGTCAACCTTAGTTCCTTAAGCGCTCTGGTAATACCTGAGTTTATGCAGGTCTCCCTCAACTAGGCATTCCAGTCAAAACCCCAGTAATATAACCAGTGTTTCCAGTTGTGTTCCGTTACTCTTATTGAAGTTACACAAGTGAATATATTATGAAAATATAAAAATACTGGGAGTTTCTGAGTTCTGAAGGGATCAGGTAGAAGATAAATGTTTTATTCACCGAGGTATATTTTATCAAATTGCTGTAAGTTACAATTACCTTAATTTCTTTAAATCTGGAAAAACAATGTTTCAACAAAAGAAAGTCATAAAAATTATAATCATCCTCAACTCATTCAGTCCCATGTTGTTCTTGTGCTTAAACTAATTCTTACCGAGTTCAGTTGCATGATCTTATTATCAGAAACCTGTACTCTGATTTCTTTCCATGAGTCTCAGTGCAGATGAAACACATTTGAAGGAGGGCTTGTAAAAGCATCTGAGTATAACTAGAAACAACGAAAAGACTTAAAAGTGGCCGTGGTTAGAGATCTGATTAGAGTTCATGACCATGCAGTTGACAAGGAAGTTCAGTTATTTCTGTGACACACACCACTTCAGGGTAACATATGAGGACATACCTGATTTCTGAGAGTTTCATACAGTTTTTAGTAACATTTCTACATCTAATCTGAGAGGGTTCAGTATCACTCAGAGGACAGAGCTTCCCATGTAAGTTAACAAGCCTAATTAGTGTACTCTTTTTATATAGGAGATGAAATATCCATGGGCCCCCTAGAATATTTCAGTTAGATTGTGATGATAAGACTATAGAATTTGATTTTGGAAAGTGTGTCAATAAACATCAAAATGTCTGAACATTTTATTAAATAGGATCCCTGATCATTCTGGAATATTTAACCAAAGTGACAATAAAAGATTTTAAAGGCAAATACTGAAGGTTACATAATTGTGAGCAAAACTTGGCTCTTTTGATATTGAAGAGTCAGTTTTCCTGAATGATCAAAGATCTGATGAAGACATAGAATCTGAGGTTATTGGTTTGCTTTTCATCAATTATAAACAAAACTCTTTAATGTTAGAACTTAAATTTATTCTAATCTTAGCCATTACTGACCATACATAAAGTCTGTAAACCTACAACTTTCTTTTTTCACATTCAGATTTTGTTCTAAGTTTTCCCTCAACAAAAATGTCTTTGCATTCCTCGTACCTCTTATTGAAAGCATTTTCCTTGTATACAGAGTTGGTTCCTTTATTGGGGGTAGCTTTAACCCATTCGATTTGAATTCTTAAGTGAAGTTCGAAGTAGGAAAACCTTGATCTCCCCTTCTCTGAAGGCTGACTGGACAGCTTCTGCACAACAGAGGATGGAGAGACCCCAGAGAGAACAGAGAAAGAGACAGACGTGGTAACAACTGGGAACTCCCACCCCAACACTGTAAACTGAGCGACTGAACAGATTTATCTGCCCTGGGGCTCAAGTAATATTCTAGTTGCCTTTTTAGACCATGGCTTCTTAAAGGATTAGCTTCCTACCAAGCAATATGGGCCTGCTGGAACACTCTCAGGTTGGAGAAGCTGCAGCATGTCCCTGTTCACACTCCTCCACCTTGATGGTGCAGAGGTAGATGGGCTCCGGGCTGGCCTGCTGCTTCTGTGAGCCTGGGGCCCAGCACACACTGGGTAGACCTGGACAGCATTGACTGTGCCTTCAGCTGTAACACAAGGTGACACAGGGGCAAAGCATCTCAGGACACTCTAGATGACTTGCCTGGCCCCCCTTACACATACTGCTGTGGGACTTTCTGCCCAGGCTTCCTGTGGCTCCCGCTGACTTACCAGGATGTCCCCTGCAGAAAAAGCCCTGGATCCCCCAGCTGGCCTTCACTTTCAGCTTCAGCTGTCCTGGTAGAGTGGTCTCCGCAGAACCCTGGGATCCCCAGCCCTCACACCTGCTATAGCTCTGGCCAGGCCCACAGTCTACACCAGACATCCTTGCACCAGGCAATTTCTTCAAGTTTAGAAAGGAAGTAGCTGATATACCTACTTCTTGGAAATAAACACAAACACAATGAAAAATGTGCTCTAAAGAAAAGCACGAAACTTCAGGAAAAGAACCAAATGAAATGGAGATCACCAGTCTACCTGATAGACACGAGAGTGGATGAACTCAGAACTTCAACAAAGAAAAAATATAAAAAGCCAATCAGAGTGAAAGACTATAGTAACCAATGAAAAATACACTAGAAAGAATCATCAGCAAATTAGAGGATGCTGAGGAGTGGATCAGTGATCTGGAAGCCCAGCTGGTGGAGAGCATACAACCTGAAGAGCAAAAGAAATTTTAATATGCATAGGTTAAGAGATTGCTGGGACAACATCAAGCATCTTGACATTCACATTATAGGACTCCCAGAAAGAAGAGAGAAAGAGAAAAGGGCAGAAAACTTATCTAACCTGGGGAAGGAAACAGACATCCAGGTCCAGGGGGCACAGAGAGCCCCAAACAAGATCAAACCAAGGGAAGGCCACAACAAGACACATAATTAAAATGTCAAAGATTAAAGATAGAGAATCTTAAAAGGAGCCCGTGAGAAGCAACTAGGCATGTACAAGGAAACCCCCCCATAAAGCTGTATGATTTTTCAGAAGTTTTGCAGGCCAGAAAGGAGAGTCATGACACATTCAAAGTGCTGAAAAGAAAAAAACCTATAACCAAGAGTTCTTTACCAAGCAAGATGGTCATTCAGAATTGGAGGGAGAAGAAATTTCTCAAACCAAAGGTAAAGGAGTTTATCACCTCTCAACTGTCCTTAACAAGAAATGTTAAAGGGAATTCTTTAAGTGGAAAAGAAAAGCCCATAATTAGAAGAAAATTAGGAAAAGGAAAAAATTTCACAAGTAAAAGCCAATATATAGTCAAAGTAATGTATCAATCACAAAGCTAATATGAAGATTAAAAGACTTAAAAGTAATAAAATCAATTATATCTAATAGTTAAATTATATCTAAATAAGGACTCAAAAAATAAAAAGATGTAAAATATATACATAAAGTGAAGGGGGTGTAAAACTGAAGTTCTTTTAGAATGTGTTCGAACTTGAGCAACAATCAGCAATACAGACTTATGTACTTAGGATCTTATATATGAGACTCTTGGTAATCACAAACCAGAAATCTATAATAGATACACAAAAAGGAAGCCAAGCATAACACTAAAGAAAGTCATCAGTTACAAGGAAAGAAAACTATAACCAGAAAATAACGAACAGAATTGCACTAATACACTTATTAGTAATTGCCTTAAATATAAATGCTCTAATCAAAAGACATAGGGTTCTCTCTCCCTCTCTCTCATAAATGAATAAAATCTTTAGAAAAAAATAAAAATAAAAGGGGGTGCCTGGGTGGCTCAGTTGCTTAAGCAACTGCCTTCAGCTCAGGTCATGTTCTTGGGGTCCACACAGAGTCTGTTTGTCCCTCTCCTTCCCTGTCTGCTCTGCCCACCCCCACTTGTACGCTCTCTTTCTCAAATAAATGAATAAAATCTTAAAAACAAAAGACCTAGGGTAACAAGATAAAACAACCAGAACTACCTATATGTTGCCTACAAGAGACTTACTTCAGACCATTTATGGAGTGAAAGTGAGGAGATGGAAAAAAAGATTTCATAAAAATGAAAGGAAAAAAACTGGGGTAGCAATACTTACGCAAAATAGACTTTGAAACAAAGCCATTATATAATGATAATGGGATCAATCTAGTAAGAGGATATAATGATTACAAATATTTACCCACCATTGGAGCACCTAAACACATAAAGGAATATTAACAGAAGGAGAAGTTGACCATAACAGGAGGGGACTTTAACATCCCACTTGCATCAACAGGATAGATTATCCAGACAGAAAATAAGTAAACAGTGGCTCTGATGGGTTTTACAGATATATATAGAACATTTCCTCCAAAAGCAACAGAATACACATTCTTTTTAAGTACACGTAAAACATTCTCCAGAATGGATCACATGTTAGGCCACCAAACAAGTCTCAATAAATTCAAGAAGACTGAAAGCCTATCAAGCATCTTTTCTGACCACAGTAGTATGAAACTAGAAATTACCAGAATGGGGGGGGGGACCAAAAACATAAGCACATGGAGCCTAAACATGTTACTAACTAACCAGTGGGTCAATGAAGAAATTGAAAATGAAAACACAACAGTCCAAAAGCTTTAGGACACAAAACACTTCCAAGAGGGAAGTTTATAGCATTAGAGGCGTAGAAAATTTTCAAATAATCTAACATAACATGTAAAGGAACTAGAAAAAGAACATCAAGAAAGCCCAAAGTTAGTGGAATAAGGGAAATGATAAAAGTCGGAGTAGAAATAAGTGAAACTGAGAGTAAAAGAAAAAAGACCAGGGAAACCAAGAGCTGGCTCTTTGAGAAAATAAACATAATTGATAAGTCAAGAAAAAAAGGACTGAAATTAAAATCAGAAATGAAGAAGTGTAACAACTGATATCACAGAATGACAAAGGATACTAAGAGGCTACAAAAAATATAAGCCAACAAATTGGACAATCTAGAAGAAATGAATAATTTCCTAGAACTATACAGGCTTCCAAAAGTGAATCAGGAAGAAATAAAAAATCTGAACAGACCAATTACTAGTAATGAAATTGAATGGGCAATCAAAAATTATCAGAAGTAGTAACTGATGGCTTCACAGATGAATTCTCTCAAACATTTAAAAGAAGAGTTAAGAGACGCCTGGGTGGCTCAGTCAATTAACCGTCCAACTCTTGTCTCAGCTTAGGTCATGATCTTGGGGTTGTGAGGTCAAGCCCCATGTCAGGCACCCCCCTCAGTGGAGAGTCTGCTTCTCTCCCTCCCTCTCTCTCTCTCTAAAATAAATAAATGACTCCTAATTAAGTAAATAAAGAAGAGTTAACTCCTGTTTTCCTCAAACTATTCCAAAAAAGGAAGAGGAAGGAAAGCTTCTGAATTCATTTTAGAAGGCCAGCATTACCCTCATACCCAAATCAGACAAAGACAGTATAAGAAAACTACAGGCTAATGTCCCTAATAAACACAGATTCAAAAATCCTCAACAAAATATTAACAATTCGTTATCCTGTGGGATTTATTCCAGGGATGCAAGTATGGTTCAATATCGATTCAAATCGATCACTGTGATGCATCACATCAACAAAATGAAGGTTAGGGGCACCTACCTGGGTGGCTCTTTTGGTTAAGTGTCTAGCTTTTGATTTTGGCTCAGGTCATGATCGGGGTCCCGGGATTAGTCCCTGTGTTGG